TTCTAGGTGATTCCATCATCTTTACTTTCTATTGTTTTCCATTTCTATATTTTTAACTTCCAAGAGCTCTATTTTGTTCTCTGCACACTCCCTTTAACAGCATCCTATTCTTGTTTCATGGTTGCAGCATCATCCCTGTCTACGCTGAGGATCTTAATGCCAGTCTTTTTGTTGCATTATTGTTTTTTCCTTCCTACACCTTGTCAATTTCCTCTAAGCTGCTTTTTTCTGTTTGTTCATTTTGGTGTCTACCTTTCATGTTAAAGACTTTCTTCAGGCGTCTGGAAATCCTTGGCTACCTTTTTATGGTAAGACTAAAAAGCTGATGGAAGCCCTGAGGGCAAGGCTGTGGCTTAACAACCGTGAACTTCAGTGCGGGATAATCTACTTGGACTGTTTTGTGGGCGAACCTGGATGTCAGTGTCTTTAGGTCCCTCCTTTTGGGCTGGTCAGGTTCTGCAGAGACTTCTCCAGTCTCCCGCCTGCGCTGTGAAGGTCGCAAGGCCTGTGTTCCAGGAACGGGGACGAGGAGGAGGCCTCAGCTCCAGGGAGCGTAGGTCCACTGAATCCCTTTGTTTTTAGTACAGTGTCCTTGCCTCATCTCTGTCCCCTGTCCCCCAAATCATAGATCCTCCATTTTACTTTCTCCAAACCTCCGGTCTTCTGTGCAAAGCGGGAGAAAGGTCCTTGGCATCTATGAATTTTCCAGTCAATTCTCTTTTATTTTAGTCCCCTTCTTCACCCCTACATCCAGATGAACCTGATGCCACCAACTTCCCAGTCCTCGGAGATTTAGTAAGCCCAGGGGCTCTCGGCTTTCCTCACTACCAGTCTATAGTTTCATATTCTTGAATCTGCTAAGCCATTTACCATCTGTCCTTATGCTTCCCAGCTTCCAAAATCTTGCTGCTGTTGAGTCCTCCTGTTTTTCTTGTCTTTCTGAGTTTCTCTTTTTTACTTAATCCCTTTAAATGTCATTTTAATGGAGTTTTGATAGCGATCCAAGGTAAATGTATGTATTCCATGTGCCATCTTTTCTCAGAAGTGAAATCTTCCAGAAATTTGAGACTTCAGTTGAGATACTACAGATTGGGAGTTTCGAGGGCTCTGGCCATCAGTCCTCCTCTTTATCTTTATATGCCCTTTGATTCTGCTAACAGCTTTCTCCTTAAAACTACACCTCCGTGACACACCAAGGCCCAGGCAGTTAGGGCAATCAAGGAGCCTACAGATAATTTTAAAACAATACAACTGACTAAAAATCAGTCTGCTTTTTATTATCACCATGTGCCAGCAACAAAACAAAGTCAGTGACAAAACACTTCTTTCTGAAAAATCTTTCGTTAATCTAAGTTCCAAACAACTGCTCAGCCACTGTTGACTTTAATAATATATAAGTCAGCTTCAACACAGCACCTTTCTATTTCTTATGCTTTAATTAACAAGGAAGTTACTTGAGAGAACTCGCAGTTATCCAGTTGGCCTCTGACGCACACAGACCCAGCTATATGCGTGTGTTCTGAGAGCACATCTGAAACGGTTCGCAACTGTCCCAGCTCACATGGGCACAGCGGGGCCCTGAGTCCTGCATTTCCCTGCAGAACAGGGCTGGCATAACAAGAGCCCGGTTACTGAAAACACGAAGAAACTGCACTTGAGTTACTTCAATTCCATCATTCTACAGGCAACTTGTTCTCTGAACCTTGCGGAATTCACTTGCTTGGAAACATTTCTTCATATATTTTTTCTTCCTTTTTTTTCCCGAAAATACATTAATGTAATTTAAAAGTATTGATCCATTAGTTTTTTCTTGTTTTGTATTGTAAATTTTATTTTTATTTTTAAAAATTTTACTAGCATGGTTATATAAACAAAGTTTAATAAACTTTTCTTTTCTAGCTATTATTATTATCTGTGTTTTAAAAATTACCTGCTCCCAAAAAGGAACCCTCATACACTGCTGGTGGGAATGCAAACTGGTGCAGCCACTACGGAAAACAGTATGGAGATTCCTCAAAAAATTAAAAATAGAACTACCATATGACCCAGCTATCCCACTACTGGGTATCTATCCAAACAGCTTGAAGTCAGCAATTCCAAAAGTCCTATGCACCCCAATGTTTATTGCAGCATTATTTACAATAGCCAAGACATGGAAGCAACCTAAGTGCCCATCAACAGATGATTGGATAAAGAAGTTGTGGTATATATATATACAATGCAATACTACTCAGTCATCAAAAAGAACAAAATCGTCCCATTTGCAACAACATGGATGGACCTTGAGGGAATTATGTTAAGTGAAATAAGCTAGATAGAGAAGGACAATCTCTGTATGACTTCACTCATATGAAGAATTTAAAAACGTGGACAAAGAGAACAGATTAGTGGCTACCAGGGGAAAGGGGGGAGGGGGGTGGGCACAAAGGGTGAAGTGGTGCACCTACAACACGAATGGCAAACAATAATGTACAACTGAAATTTCACAAGATTGTAACTTATCATTAACTCAATAAACATTAAAATTACTTGCTCCAGGTGTTAGATTCATTAGGTACACCACTGCACCTCACCACTTTGTTTTTCCACCAGCGTCAACTGGCCATTCTATCTCCATCTTTATGTGATAGAGATTACCCATTGTCAGCATTTCCTCTTCTATCAACCTCTAAATGCTGGGCTTTCCCAGGTCTTGGCCACGAACTCTCTTCTCGTCTCTTTTTATCCTCCTTTCCAGTGTACTTTAACTCATTCTCATGGTTTTCTAGACAATCATAATGCTGTTGACTCTTTGCACTGATATCTCTAATGCAGAATTCTCTTCTGAGTTTAAGATCCATATCCAATTGCCTAACAGACAGCTCAGCTTTAATGTCTTACAAAATCCAAGCTCGCTTAATATGTTCAAAACCAAACTCCTGATTTCCAGTTCCTGCCTCACCACCCCCATCACTGTCTCTACCGTCTCAACAAAAGGCTCTACTATCAACCCAGCTGCTCAAGTCAGTCTTGCTTTGGCAGGGGTCTTTTACCAGTATATCCCATCAGTGAGTAAATCCAGGCAATTTCAACTCCAAAATATGTCTTGGGTACATCTGTTTTCTCTCCAAACCCACCACCACTAACTTGTCCAGACCAACTTATCTCTCACCTGGACCAATGCAACCGCTTCCTAACTGGTGTCCTTACTTTCACTTCTGGCTCCTCCAAACCATTCCCCAAAGAGTCACCAGCGTGATCTCAACATACTTAGAAATTTAAGAAACTCCCACATTAGGTCTTTGGCCTGTGGGTAAGAGCTATCCTGGTGGGGAAGGCAAAATGGACACCTCTGAAGCTGCACCCGAGTGCATAAAATAACAATATCGCCGTCCAGGAGGATGGGGGGATTGGTGTCACCTTTAAGGATTTCAAGGATGCAGAAGTGGTGGCGCCTATCAAGTCTGCATTTAATTCACAGGTCCAGCCCCTGCAAAAACTTGATAGATCTGAGAAAATGACTGCCAGTTACTGCAAGCTCAACCAAGTAGCAGCCCTGATGGCAGCTGCCATGCAAGTGCCAAGCAGTCTTTGCTAGAGCACATCAGTGTGGCCTCAGATGCATGGAATGTGGCCAGTGACTGGACCAAATGCATTATTTTCTACCTCACTCAGGAAAAAGGATCAGGAAGTTCACATTTACATGGAACAGATAATAGTATATACTCACAGAGCCCTCACACTCGTAAGGCCATGTTCATTCTCCTGCTCTCTGTCAAAATATAGTCTGAATAGATCAGGACCCTGTGGAAATCCCAAAGAACATCACACTGACCCATTACATCGGACTTGGCAGACTATGGCCTGTGGATCAATCTGACCCACATGTTTCTGTACGGCTTACAAATGAAGAATGATTTTTACGTTTTTAAATAGTTTTCTAAAAAGATCAAGATGAGTAAGCAGAGCACAGAGGATTTCTAGGGCGGTGAACCTCTCCTGTACAATACTATAATGGTGGATACGTGTCATTATATATTTGTCAAAATTCATAGAAAAGCAAGAGTTTTCTCATTTTTCTCTAGGACTTTGGGTGATAATGATGTGTCAATGCAGGTTCATCAATTGTAACAAATGTACCACTCTGATGGGGGATGTTGATAATGGGGGACATTATGCATGTCCGGGGGCAGGAGGTATATGGGAAACCTCTGTACTTTACATTTAATTTTCCTGTTGAACCTAAAACTGCTCTAAAAAAATGAAGTTTATTAATTTAGGAAAAACATCAAAAATATGAAGAATATTTTGTGACATGCACATTATATGAAATTCAAATTTCAGTGTCCATGAGTAAAGTTTTATTGGAATACAGCCACGCCACTCTGGGCCCCTTGAGTCCTATGGCCAGCAGACAGGAAGAGAAGTCAGCATCTTGGCAGGGCACGTGAATGACCAGCAGGACAAGGGATAAATTCAGGGTGTTCAGGAATTCAGGGCATCACGCAGATGCGTCTTGGTTCCCCCTCATGACAGTCCACTGTGTCTGCGATTGGACAAGGGCAGCAACCCTTGCCCGAGAAGGGTAAGGTTATCAGTCTCAGACCCTTCAAGAATGAGGGTTTGTGTCCACAACCAGATAAGCCACTGAGCCCCGCAGAAGTGTTGGCTGAGGTCCAGTGGATAAACACTTGTGGAAGGAAGGCAGGCTGGGAGGGAAGGAAGAAAGACCCCTGAGGGCAGGTCGTGGATCACCTGCATCTTCAGCGGATTGCCCACAATGTCTGGTGCAGCGGGCTCTCAATAAAAGTGCTGACGGGATTATTATTTCCGTGTTTGACTTCGCTAGTGTATTGAATATTCTAATATCCCACACTTTGCTTGAACCTTCTGGAGGAAATGTTTTCCATCTCAACAAGCGACAGGGCCCGCTCACGCTTGGGGCACGCCGGCCCCTCCCGGCACGGCTCCAGCCCCCGGGGAGCCGCCCCCTCCTCCCCGCACCGCGTCGCCGGCACCCCGGCGGACCCGCCCACACCCGGCTCACCGCCTCCGAGCTTCCAGGCGTGCCGCGATGCGGAGGCGCCGGGCCTGGATCCGCTCCTGAGGGTTATCGGAATGTATCGAGGGCCCGAGAATCGGGGTGGGTAAGTGTTCCTCCTCCTTCTCCTCCAGGACCCCCAGCGATCCCGGTGGATTCATGGCAGATGCCTCCCGCCCCCCAGGCAGCTCCGCCCGGACCGCCGCCAGACCGCCGCCCGGTTGCTAGCAACAAGCCGTTGCCAAGAAAAAGCAGTCACCTGACCCGCTGCTGGAGACACTGCTCGCGCAGCTCCTCAGGCCCCGCCCACGAGTATCCTGAACGCGGCGTCCCAGCTTCGGGCTTCATTCCTCTCTTCTCCACTAGGGGTGTGAGTACTGTCTTGAGCCCCATGGAAGACCCAGCCATATTAGCGGAAGACTGAAGAGCCGGACTTAGTGTGGTTCATCACTTATTGACCCCGATGGTTAATTCATCATTCAGGTTAATTCATTCATCAGATGAATATTCCTCAAAATCATATTTATCAAATATAATTGATCACCTGCTCTGCCATGCTGTGCTAGAGCTAAGGATACATCTTTGTCCTTTCCTCATGGAGTGTATAGAATAATAGGTCCACTCTGAGCCTATTGCCTCTTCGGAAAATTTAAACTGAGGTATATTGCGTGCATCTATTCCTCATCCATTCATTTTTGAGCTCCTGCTTTGGCATTGAGCCCGTATCTCTTCTAGAACGTGAAACCACCTTGCTATCAATAAATTTATATCCAGCAAGGGATTGTTGTCTTCTGTAGCCGCTTTCAGTAGACCTGACACCTAGGACAATCCCCCATCACGACTTCCAAACACACTTATAGACAGAGGAAAGTGTGGCGCAGGGCACACAAATGAAAGTTAAGGCCACAGAAGCACAATTAAACTCTCAAAGAAGCCCCGTCCCTTGAAAAGGCACTATTTCGTGGGCGTTTTTTTTGTCATTGCCAATAAAAATAATCTTCTTGTTGAAAGTTAAAACGCCTTCAAAAACACACTGGTAACGTTTGAGAGTCTTGTCCCACTGGCCTGGGGGAACTTGGGAAAGGGCGCTGGCGGAGTGAGGAAATGCAGGGCTAGTCCTGGACCTGTCCTGCAACCTTGGGCAAGTCCCAAATTCTTGAGGACGATTTTCTCAACTGTTACGTGGTACCATTTGCTACTCAACTTACAGGCAATTGTGAAGCCAAAGATAAGATCTTTGTGAGTAAGACCTACCCAGAGGCAAATGGAGTATATTTTTAAAATTAATTTTTCCAAGTGTTCAAGTGGTCGAGAGATTTAGGAGTGCCAAAATCTTGGAGCAGCCAAGAGTCCAACAGCTGCCCAGATCCTTGTCCCATATCTAGCTGGGGGCTGGGGGGCGGGGGGCGGGGGGTGGGTTGCTTCTGGGCTTCAGGGTCCTCTGCCAAATCTCTCTCTGCTCTGGTTGTAGCCTCAAGCAGTCAACTTCCCTAGGGGACATGGAATCAGAGGAGCAAGGTACAGTTTTGACCGCAGACTCTTCAAGGTCCTGGTCTTTGTTTCCACCATCTGTGAGAAGAGAAACAAATACGCGTGTGCTATGCAGCTACGGCTGCGAGTAGGCTACCAGGAGAATGTCAGCGGGAACCAGCTGTTCAAGAGAGAGGGGAGAGAGCAGGGGCACCATAAAAACCCCTGAAAAGTGACCAATGAGGTACTTGGCCCTAACGTGTCCCCAGATACCTTCATTCCAGCCGTCTTTTGTGGTAAGGAATCTGACTCCACTTTTTCCTGTTTGATTGTTGACAGCTTTCAAGCCTCATGTCTTTCTTCCTCTCTGCTCCACAGCTGGGCAGTTGATTTAAAAATGCCTTGCGTGCTCTCCTTTGGCCATGGCAGGAGTTTCCAACTGTGTGTGCTGGGTCCTCTCATGTGCGCCCCGCCCCCCAACCACAATAAAAGCCCCAAGCCCGTCTCCCTTCCTGGCTCTCTCCAGCCATTTCCCAACCAGCTGGGAGATCTTAAGCCTTATTCATAGGCGTGGGAAAAAAGGCACTCTTGTTCACCGCTGGAAAGGCACCTTTTAGGACAGTTTGCCAATATCTATTCATAGTTTAAATAAGCATATGCATTGACTAGGCAATTCTAGAATTACCCTTGAGAGAGAATGGGTCTAGGCCATAGTTCCATGGGGTCAAAATGACATCAGCACTGTATATCCAGCACCTAACCCAATACCTGCTATGTAGTAAATGCTCAATAAATATTTGCTGACTGCAAGAAATGGACAGATGTATCTGTATGCTCTCTGCAGTTATGATCCAGTTATCAGAAGTTGTATTAAATTTGTTATATATATTTATAATAATTTGTATTAAATTATCCAGTTATTAAAAACTGGATATGACCAAAATGCTGATAAAGAATTCATGGGATGCAAAACAATGCAGCCACTAAGAATGAATCTGACCTAGAAAGACAGCCAAGACCTGTTAGACGAGGCCAGGCAGACGCAGCACAATGTGTGGAGTATGATCCCAGTTTGTTGGAAATATATGCAGTGTGCACACAAGACAAACGGGGAAAGAACACAATATAGTTGACATCTCTGGGGGTTGGGTCTATGGGTGATTTTCATTCTCTATTCTAAAAAAACAAGTTTACAAAGAACACAAGTCACTTCTGATGTAATAAAAAATAAAGCTTATTTATTCATCTATTATTTCTTTTCAAGAGTGGTGACAGGAGATCCTGAAGAGACTGCGGGGGGCAAGAGTAGGGCTGTCGTGGATGAGAGGACCTCGGAGAGGGACGCAGGTGACGTCCACCTTGGTGATTCACCAGCATCCAGTGTCTAGTCCTCATGTGGCAGGCAATACTCCAAAAGGAGACCTGCTTTTGAGAAATGACTGACACTACTAAGCTCACGAAAGACAAACATACAGAGAATACACTAATTTGAAGAAGAAACTACAAGTGACACAGAGTGCCTGTGTGTGTTTATGACTTGTGACCAGCACATCTCTGTCACTGATCTACAAAGAGAATCAAACTGTAATTGGGAAGCTTCTTGATAATGGACAACTGACTGGAATGGACTCGGGCCCACGATGGGGATAACTTGCCACAGACTAGGTAGGTCAAGTCCTTGGGGTATGGCACCCATCCCTGGGTAAGTTTTGGGTGACAAATGCAAAACCTCTGGCTATAGGGACTTCCTTTGCTATGCTACAGGCTGGCCATCTACTTCAGCTTATAGTCTGTTTCCAGAAAAACAATGCTACACTGATTAGATTTTAGCATGCTAAATCACACACTCAGTTCTCTATCAACAAGTTTATATCAAATCACCTCAATTGGGATTTGAGGATTCATCAAACACTTAACATAATTTTATGGTTTATTCCTATCTCCCAATGTGTGTGAATTTTACTTATAGATTCTCAGAAGGCAATCCTTGTTTTATTCATTGCCAGTTTTTTTTTTGTTTTTTTTGAGGAAGATCAGCCCTGAGCTAACTACTGCCAATCCTCCTCTTTTTGTTGAGGAGGACTGGCCCTGAGCTAGCATCCATGCCCATCTTCCTTTACTTTACACATGGGATGCCTATCACAGCATGGCTTTTTGCAAAGCAGTGCCATGTCTGCACCCGGGATCCGAACCTGTGAACCCTGGGCCACTGAGAAGCGGAAAGCACAAACTTAACCACCGCCACTGGGTGGCCCCTCCAGTTATTTTTAGAACTGTCTCACCATCATCTTCATGTATTGCCTACAAAAGGTACGAAGGAGGGAAGAAAGGAGGGAGGAAGGCAAGTCATGAGCAGGTCATAAATAAGGCTGAGGAAAAAGTTCAAAGGTAAAAAATGAGAACTAGCTATTAGTGGAAACCGAGGAGCACCAGCCTTAGACCACTCCTGCGCTAAACACTCGACACGTGTTATTCATTGCACATAGCACATACGTGCAGTAATATTCCTGATCCAATTTTACAGATGAGGAAACTGAGGCTTAGAGAAGTACCTTGCCCTGAGTCAAAGCTTGCAAAGTTGAACATGACTAAGAAACAATCACTATATTAAAGCTTTGGAAGGTCTTGGAAAACTTCCAGAATAAAAGCAAGAAGAAAAATGGAGGAAGCAGTTACAAAGTTTTCTTTCAGGAAATTTGGGAACAGAGGAAAAAAGATGAGAGCAGGAAGAGGAGCAAGACAGTGTGGGGGCATAAGGTCTTTTTCAGTTTAATAGACGCAAGAGTGGTCACCTGGTACGCACGTGCGGGGCGTCAGGTAGGCGTGAGGTCCGCAGACACAAGGGCGGGGGCAGCTGCTAGGGCAACCAAGGCGGCACGAGGGCCTGGGACTAGGGGCACACGGAGAATTAGCCTGGGTTAAATATGGCACATTTCCTCCCTTTCTTCAAACTTGTTACAGTTTTTGTTAAATGCCCACTGCCAGAACTGGAAGATAATTCTCATGTAAAAAACAAGAAATATTCTCCTCAGAAGCAATGTTAGAAAATCAGAGTTTTTATAAGAGCTTATCATTTATATATTGCAGTTGTGGGATATTAATTGTGGGTTATTAGGTTCTTGTGGAATTAGCCTGGAAAATTAACACCATACGTTAACACTCTTTCTATGGGAAAATATTTGTGAGTGTGAACCAACCACCTTACAAACTAATTTAAACTAATTTAAGTGTGACCCAGTAGTATTACATATGGCCCAGGACCCAGTTCTGGGGGAGTCAAGAGCAGTATTATTATGAGTAGCTGTTACTGCCGCTGCCTAGTACTCTGCTTTCTGAAACAAATCACAGGATTTCAGAATACCCAGGAGCAAGCAGGCTGAGCTTTCTTAAAAAATGAAACAGAATGCTTGTATTGTTTTGTTCTAAAATAATCAAAGATTCCGAGACAAGTGGCAGGATGTTAATCTTCTCCCCACAGCTCCCTCCCCTTTGGCACCTACCAAGGGAAAACAAAGACACTCTGAAAACCATTAAAAGGATTTAAAAATTATTTACTCTTTACTTTTATTACAATAAATATTTATCAATAATAGAATTAAACAATTTTAAATTAAAACCTACTGCATTACTTTTGGGTTTCACAGCAGCAGAAATAAACATAAATCCAGTTGAAAGGGGAAGGCTTCCAGAATCCAGTGGCAAGAAACAGTCAGATCTTGATTATCTGGGCTAGCAATGGGGAACAGCAATACTGACGATGCAAAAATGACGGGGAAATGCATACCTGTACTGTGTTCGTACATCACGTTATCTAGGACTTCACGACATTCCAGCTAAGGAATTGGAGCAAGCTGTGAAGCTCCATTTCTGCAAGAGCTACATTTCTCCCCCATCAAGCCCATAAGCACAACTGCTCCCAGAGCCGGCCCAGAATGGGCCCCATCATCAGGCAGACCCAGAAGCCTCAACCCTGGAGGAAGCTGCCATCTTTCTCGAAAGCTGTCTTTCTGGTTCACACAATCCCTGGTGAAAGGGAAATGGAAAGTGATATATTTCAAGGGCCTTTCTTGGGGACCAAGTTGAACTGAAGTAGGAAAGACCGTGGCTTCAGATGCGGAAGAGGCTTCACAGAGTTACGGGCTACATGCAGATTAAGTCAACATGAACAGTCTAGTGAGGCTTACCCTCCTGCCGATAATCAAGAGTAGACTGCACGCACATACGAATATCATACATACAAATGCACAGAGAATAGATGTGTACAGATTAAATACGTATACATACACCACCACACGTAAACAGATAAGATAAATGCTGCATTATTTACGATGGACACATCAAGTCCTAGACAGACCAGTTACTAACACGTTCAGTTAAACTACTTGAAAGGGAAAGTCCGGTTTTGTGCTCCTCTTCGCCGCCTTCTCTAATATTTTCTACTTGTAGCAGACATATTCCAGTTGCTTATGTGGTGTTGTTTCTAGGTACCTGAGAAGGGATGGAATCATCCTTTTGTTTCAGAATGCTACAGAAAGCAAACTGTAACAGGACCAAGCTACCAACTCAATAATTGATTCAGCCATGATTCCTGCCACCTATTCTTAGTCACAGGGAATGAAACCTTACTTAGAAAGGGGTCAACTTCTTTGTCTACAATTGGCTACAAATTTAATGTGAGATGGGAGGGGCAAGGGAGGAGGGAAGTAGTGGGAAGTGTGCACCACCACAATTACTCACAGCCTTCGCCCTTACCCAGGGGAAATGCTACTTTAAAAAAATTGAAATTTGGAGTTTAATACTGAATTATGCTTTCTTGGCACATTTCAGAATGAGCAAAACCATTACATATAGCTGGGTCTTTGTCTCCTGAATGGCTGCTCTAATGGGATAAGTTATCTAAACAAAAACCTACAAAAAAATGTTAATATTGTAGGCAGTCTTAATTAGTGATTAAACTCAAAATGTGACACCGAATGATATCAGAAACTCAAACAAATTTATAATGCAGCATTCATAGATCTTGTAAAATTAAAACAGGCTCCTCCTATAACTTTGTTAGTACCATCAAGTACTAACTAAACATGTCCCTGGTCAAGAACTTACTCTTTAAAGATTAAAAAGTACTTGTCAAGAATATCAGCATCTAGAATTCATGGTGAATTGTGTATGTTTTAATAAAAAATCAAAATCAATTCTAATTGTTACCCATACAAACTACTCCAGAGAAGACTTCAGCCCAAGAGCTATAAGGCATGCACAACATTTAGCCGCCCCTGGTGTCTTCCATATCGTCTCTAATTCCAATGTAGCATCAGGTACTCTATGGCCATGATCCAATACACATGCTTTACAGACAGCACCACCCTGATTTAGCCTGGCTTTCTAAGAATGATTCTGTGACGAGCAAGACAACATGAATGGTCTGTGAAGACCAGACAATCCTTCTGTTGTGTCCAAATGGACTTTCCTAGAGAGACAAGCCCTTGTTTAAAAAAAAAAATTCTAAAATCGTGCCACTTTCCAATTCTAGGAACCTGGCCTGTCACATCAAATGCAATACAACCCCGTCACTCAGGCCACCTGTGGGAGGGCTACGAATGGTTACTCTAAATATTAGCTCATTTAAAATCTGTCTGTAAAAGAGCTGGTCCCTACTTAAAAACAAAAAAAGTCAGCTAGATTACTAACTCTTGCATATTTGTTTATTAAAGAGCAAAGCATATTACTAGCATGCAGGTTAAAAAGTAAGGTTACATTTACTTTGTACTGTAGAAACACTGGAAATGAATTAGCCAATAAATCCAATTCCCATGGCTCCACGCAAGAAGGAAGTAAACACATCACCATTTTATCTGGAAAAGTTAGACAACCATGATTTACCATATACCCTAAAGTAACTGCCTGCCAACGTCAGTCATTTGTACCACTGTCAAAAAAGATGAAAAGTAAAATATACAAATCACATGAGTTACGTAATTAGTAAAGGAAAATCAGAAATTTAAGCTTCCTAAAACGTATAGAGCATCACACTTTCAAGTTTCACAGTGATTAATTTAACACCATTTTATTGTGAAAACTGTCCCTTAAAATGTACCTGTCAAAGTGCTTCAAATGCAGCATACTAGTTAAAATTCTTCCTGGAAGGTTCTAGTACTGGCAGCTAACTTAGTAAGGTTATTCACCCACAGGGTGTTCAAGAAAGGGTATGCTGCCTTACCAAGACACCTCATAAGACAAAGAAAATTCCAGTCTGACCTAACAAATTTCTATAGAGTGCTCAATCGAGTCCAGAACTGAGGTCAAGATAAAGGCCACTCTGAACACAGAAAGCAACACAACCAAAGATTCTGTACCTGTTTTGGCTTATTCGGGGACCTGAAGTCAACAGTTCTAGCCCACTGGGTTTACTCTGTTCCCTCTGGCATGTTCCCAGTCGTTGACTAGTCAAGAGATCTCAGGCAATCAAGGAGATCTGAACGTGGCAAGATGTAGGGGCAGCAAAGCAAGTGGGCATCTCTGTGCTAAGCGGTGGCAGGTCAAAAGGAAACCCAGATGGAGGAGGAAGAGAAAGGGTTACAAATAAGTTTCTAGTTAAAATATAAAGGGGGAAAGTCTTTGATTCAAACACCTTCAGATTATCTTTTTATTCTCCATCCTTTATAGAATCAAAGTCTGCTTTGGAAAGCAAGGTATATTCTTTTCAACTGACAACAAAGTAAACTAATTCTCTGAAAACTGAACACTTAGGAAACTTTCAAATTCACATCTGAATTTGAAATTAGTGGAGGAATGACGATTTACACTGCGACAACGTGGAACTGTGCACTGCAGTAAGATCAGTGGGCACTAAGGGGATCCCTTCTCCCTTAAAGGGGATACTCTGCCTGCCTTCTCCTTTCCTGCTCCCTCAGTGCCCAGGCTCCAGGTCACGGTCAATACTCTTGGCATCTACTTAGAATCTGGGCAACTCTAGACATACACTCCTCTTCGCATACTTCTATATTAAAATGACATGTTGGTAGCAGTACTGTAACATGCTAGACCATGATCAGCATTGAACTTTCTTTTTAAAATTAGAATTAAAAGTATTTTAACCATGATATTATTAAAATGCTGAAGAAGACTATTTAGTTTTTTATTTGAAAGTTATTTACTCTATTACCCTTAAGACTAAAACCCATAAATTCACCTATTACATCTATTATGCATTAATGGAGGAATGACGATTTAAAATGTGACAATTTTAAACTGTGCACTGCACTAAGATCACTAACGCTATTCAAGAATCACAAAAGGCAGCATTACCATATCCTATCCAGGTATTTTCAGACTGTTCTAGCCCACACCCCCCGCAAATACAGAGGAATTATTTTCTGACAAGCATGAAAGGACATTTCTCATACCGTAACCTGAAAAGAAATTTATCACAGGTCTAGGTAACTTTGGTCAGCAGAGACACCAAGCGAACCTCTGGCTGGCGAAGGCACTCTATTCTGGAACGCGGAGGAAACATGCACGCATGACCAACCACACCACCGCTCCCCAAAAGGCAGTTCAGTGTATGCTGGGAGAAAGGCTGGGGTGTGAACTCACCCAAAACAACATGCATAAGCCTGAAATATCTTTTATACTTCGGAAATGTTATGATAATTGGCATGACATAAATGCACAGAACTATTTGTAATTAACTCCTGCGTGAGCTGCGGTATCAGTACACAACAAATGAGGGCTTTCAGGACGCACTTCAAGATGGCAGACTAAACCAAGAAACAGAGTCAGCAGTACACTACAAATTTCTAAGTCCACGGCATTCTGAAACAGTTGTTACTCACTTTCATTTTTACCTTGTTGACAGCCACCTTTCTTTCATCTAATGATGTCAATAAAACTGACTGCGGCATAATTCTTTACCACCATAGGGAAATATGTCTTTAAAGTATAGGCACAAAACAATTTTCAAATAAATGTGATGCAACAGAAAGAGAAGAGAAACACACTGAGGTAAAGTATCCCCAAAATTACAGGATATGACCCTATGCCAGAAGAAAAGAGTGTTTTTTACTGTACTGTACAAGGTGAAGAAAGCCTGTGGTCCAAATTTGTCATTTTATATATATTTATCAGTTCTTTTCTTATATAACACAGATTAATCTCATTCTTGTGTACAAAGTCAACAAAACAGTAAATGATTAGCTTAGAAACCTTAAAACAAAGCTTTGTTCCCAGTCCAAATTAACACTTTATCCAGTTCAATTTTACAGATGACACAGAACAAGGTATACAAAAAATAGAGGTACCTTCGCTTAATTGGTTCATTCTCTGACCTCATGACGGTGATTTATTAACAAACATGGAATCACTACCCACATTCTCCTGCATCAATTTTTCACCTATTTTCAGCGTTCATTTTTGTCTCAGAGAAAGTCACCAAAAATATCCCCAACCTTTATAGACAATTTTTAAAAATGAGTACAGAATGGTAAGTTAGATCCTTGACTCCTCATTTCTAATAACCTGGATGACAATGATTAGAATTTACAAATTTAAAAACCAAAGTATCGATTACAGTTATTTTTACAAAGCAGCAGACTGAAATTCAACAAAGGAATACACTATAATTAAATTTAACGATGGTCACATTCATAAATAATGGTTATGAATTTAATTACAAATCAACACAGTGGTGCTTATTTTATCCAAGTGCAATCCATCCAAAAACAAGGGTTTAAGAATACACTCTTCATTCGAGCACAAACTTCACTCAGTGAAAAATAAAGAAAATCAGCAAGTAAATTTCACCACCACCAAACTAAATAGAGACAAAGTCAAAAAGAAAAAGAAGAAAATATCCACATTCATGAAAAGGTGTGATCTATAAAACAACCAGACTAAAATCAAATTTTTATGTTTATCAATAAATCTCAAAAATTACTCCAAGTCATATTAAAGGGAGAACGTACTTAGTAAGGCATATATATCAAACATTTCCTTCAAGCGGGGAAGTGGGCAAGTTGGGTGAGAATTTCTCTCTACTTCTTTATCCTGTATGAAATAAAAAACACAGCACTCTCTTCTCCACAAAAAGAGATAGAGGGAGAGAGAGGAAGGAAGGAAGGACAAATTGAATCAGAAAACTAATTTTGTAATGAGGTTCTCAGCAGTAATTTCATAGTGAGGTTCCTAAGATTCCTAACTACAGAGAAAATTCCTCATATAAGGAAGTTTACTTGCATTCCTCACAAGTAATTATCATTAAGACTGGGACGGTCACATGCATTCATATAATCATAGTTCATAGGCACCAAATCTCAGCAACTTAGAGCTGAGAGAAAAAAAATGCCATATTTAAACAATGAACCATGCCAATGTGTGGAGCTATAATTACAATCCTTACTAAGTCTCAATAGAATATTTTTCTTTAAAAAAAAAAATAAAACCGTTTATCAAGATCTGTTCCATAACAAAGAGAGCCAGAATACTAGAGAATCTAAATATATATATTAGCTCTCTTAGCATGTGAGGACAAAAGGCATTTCCATGGGAAAGAGAAACCAGTATTTGGCAACTGTATAATGTTCTGTAACCATTTGGCATCTCTTGCAGAAGCAGACTTGCTCCGTCTTTTCCCTATATTAGATCTGGGTTACCGACAACTTCCACAGATAAAGACCTACTACTAAGGATCAAATATGAAAACGTATTATGGTTTTCTGAATGTTACCAGAGCTCCTAAACCAATTTTGGGGTTTTAAACATAAAAACAAAGCGTCTTTAACTCCGTATGAACCAAAACACTCAGGACTCATGAAGCTAAAATCACCAGGAACATTTTGCTGGTCTAAGTACATTATGCTTAACCAAAACGTCACATGGTTTTATAAAAAATAAAATAAGCTGGGAGTTAGTAGGTCCAAAATGCCACAAGTTCAGATCATACATATCATTCGTGCTCTCCAAGTACCACACACACTGAGTTTCCATGTCTGTTAAGCAGATCAGTTTAGTTCAATGGTGATGGATGAAATATTTACAAGCATCTTATTTACAGTACTTCTTTCTGTAGATTACAGGCCAATATTCTTTTCTTCCATTCCTAGTCAATCCGAGTTTGGTTTCCTCAATGAGAATGGGTAAATCTGAAAATGGCTGCTCAGCTGCTTTACCTATGAGGCAGTGACAAATACATACCTAATTATTTTTTAAAAGCACACAGCATTCACCCTCTGGAGAGAACAAATTACTGATATGGCAAAAATCACCATAAATAATGAAGAGTTTTTCTGGAGTAGGACAGCTGCAGAGCTAGACGGCTACATGAGAGTAGCAGAATTACCCCGGGAGAGTGAGACTTAAACCTGGGTCTGCCTAACTCCAAAACCTAGTATTTCCAGACCCTCCAGACCACACAGATTCACATCCAAATCTACTGAAAAAGTACAGAGTTAGCTGACTTGTAACAGCTAGTAGATCAAATATCTACACATATAGTTAAGATTCAACATTCAGTTTCTTATAACATTTCTGGGTAATCATTCCAAATCCTGATGAAACAGTTAACAAAGCAGACCCGGAAACCTGGGGAGGTTTAAGCCCTACCAGTCAGGGCATCCCTGATGGGTGGGCAAGAGCTTGGTCATGTGCCAGTTAGCAAATATTATTTATTTGATACTTCTTGTTTCTATTCTTATCCTTATCATCTATATTTCAATAGTTCAAGTGAGTGTTTTGTGTGGCTTAGCAAGGTTTACCTTCTGGTCAGAAGTTGCAGAAGTGATAAGAGAGCAGAAAAACAGACAAAAAAAGATACTCCTGGAATTTTCTTCAATTAACTTGCATTTATTTTCCAGACTTTTAACAGTGAAAATGTACTACCTTTGTAATTTAAAGAAAAATGTGATTTGATTTGGTTTGGTGTATGTACGATTTTCTAAAGACATGCTTCTGAAGGGTTATAAAATTAAACCAATATGAAAGACATGGGCAACTGTGTTCTACTTCATGCACATGACTGATGAAACAGGATAAAGGCCTGAGAGTGTTGATATAAAGCATATAATGTTAAATTTGCACAAATAAAAACAAATGACTATGTCTTCCTGTTATAATTCATAGACCTATCATGGTTCTTTTTCATCTGTTTTGTTCCAACAAATGTGGGCTACTTTAGGGAGAAACACTAAGGGATGAAACTTAAGCAGAGCAACATATGCAAGGTACAACATTGTCAGCAAGCATGACAGGTCCCTTCATTTTAAAAATATGTACGACAACACAGAAGAAAAGACATTTTGTTTCTCAAACTGATTCACAGCAGGGTTCCCTTCAAAGTAAGTATACCAGGGGCCGGCCTGGTGGTATAGTGGTTAAGTCTGCGCACTCCGCTTTGGCGGCCCAGGGTTTGCTATTTCGGATCCTGGATGCGGACCTATGCACCACTTATCAAGCCATGCTGTGACAGGCATCCTACATATAAAGTAGAGGAAGATGGGCACAGATATTAGCTCAGGGCCACTCATCCTCAGTAAAAAGCAGGAGCATTGGCAGCAGATGTTAGCTCAGGGCTAATCTTCCTCAAAAACAAACAAAAACACAAGTATACCAAATAGTCTTTTATGTGCCATAAAAATGTGAATACCCTTTTACATAACCCCACTGCTATGAAACGCCCCTCCGAAAATAAAGCAAATGAAAGAAAAAAATATTATTCCAGGTTGTTCGCTCCAACTTTATTTATAATGGGGAAAATTTGAGAACAATCTAAATGATTAAAACAACTGGGTCTTGGGGCCGGCCTGGTGGCACAGTAGTTAAGTGTGCACGTTCCGCTTCAGCAGCCTGGGGTTCACCAGTTCAGATCCCGGGTGCGGACACAGCACCACTTGGCAAAAGCCATGCTGTGGTAGGCACCCCACATATAAAGTAAAGGAAGATGGGCATGAATGTTAGCTCAGAGCCAGTCTCCCTCAGAGGAGGATTGGCAGCAGTTAGCTCAGGGCTAATCTTCCTCCCCCCACCAAAAAAAAAAAACAAAAATCAAAAAAAAACAACAAAAAAACCCCACAAAAACTGGGTCATGATTAAGTAAATTGGGTAATTACCAGGTAATTGATGGATTACTGTAAAGCAATTAAAAATCATGAGACCATGCTAAAATATGTAACATGATTAGAAAAGAATATTAAAGTGTGAGGAAAAATAAAAAATGCATGGTTCTGACTTTCATTTCATTATATTTATCTTAGTCCATTTGTTCTGAAATTAGACTCTTATTTTATTTATTTATTTATTTTTTTTTTGAGGAAGATTAGCCCTGAGCTAAGATCTGCCAATACTCCTCTTTTTGCTGAGGAAGACTGGCCCTGAGCTAACATCCGTGCCCATCTTCCTCTATTTTACATGTGGGACACCTGCCACAGCATGGCCTTCTGAGTGGTGCCATGTCCGCACCTGGGATCTGAAAAGGCGAACCCCGGGCCACCAAAGCAGAACGTGCACACTTAACTGCTGTGCCACCAGGCTAGCCCTTAGACTCTTACTTTAGAAGACAATATTAAGGTTTGCAAAATACTTCTTAAATCCATTCTCTTCTGTATTTCCTCTTATAAAAACGCCCCTAAAGCTCAAGAAGCAAGTATAGAAACAGATAACAAATGGGATTATCTGGTCCCATATAATTAAAAGCACAAAGAGTTTACAATTCTATTCACCAAGAAAATGGTTTACATTTCTACCCACTTAAAAACAAGAACTAATTCCTCATAATAATTATCCAGCTTTTAAATTATTTGTAGTTACCATAAAATATTCAATAGAGAAACAGTATCTGAAATTACACACTTGGATATTACCCAAAATTTAGAGAATATCCCAAAATTCTTCCAGCTACTATAATAAGCAGCTTTCTTTTGAAATTTTCCCTTGCCTCCTTTCTACTATCTATAAGAACCAAATGGAACCAATTTTGCTCTAGGTTACTCACCACTCGTACTCCATAATGGATGTGGGCCAGAGTGAAAGCAGTTGTTAACGTAAACAGGAGAATGTTCTCAATGTAAGAGGCTACTCCTAAGTTTATCACCATGACAACCAAGAAGAGAGGAAGCAGCAACCAATTCAAAGTTGGGCAGCGAGTACTGCTCATTTGACAAACGATCAGCTGACACTTGAAGTCAGTAAAAAAAAAAAAAAAAAAAAGAGAAAAGAAAATTTAATTAGGAAAGCACTTCCAAAACTAGTCATTCCAATATTTAAAAAGCATTCAAGCACTTGAGCCAACATATTTACATTACATTATTAAGCTCAGATAGTTCTCAACTGCTCAGGAGCCCAAGTGGACATCTGCCCTCACCTCCAAACCTATGGACCCTCAGAGTGTTTGTCAGAAGAGGCGGGAAGACAATTTAGTAAAGATGCTATAGAAGGCATTCTTCCAACGGGTAACAGTTTGGATAAAATAAATTTCTCCAAATTTTAAGATTCTATGATATCTGAAAAAAAACTTCAAAACAGCCTCCCACAGCCCTATACAACTAAGCCTCTTCATGGTAATGAGGAGATGCTACCTCAAATCGAGGCACATTACTGCCCAGCTAAAAACTTCTTTGGCTCTCTTTACTTCCAACACCTTCCTTAAATATCGTTTTATTCTTTGAGAGAGACTTTTTATGCAATGCATTAATGTTTTCAGATCCTTCATCTCTGCGAAATCAGAAGAACTGTGGACATTAAAACATGTGTTAGGGGCTAGCCCCGTGGCTGAGTGGTTAAGTTTGCGCGCTCCGCTGCAGGCAGCCCAGTGTTTCGTTGGTTCGAATCCTGGGCGTGGACGTGGCACTGCTCATCAAACCACGCTGAGGTAGCGTCCCACATACCACAACTAGAAGGACCCACAACGAAGAATACACAACTATGTACCCGGGAGCTTTGGGGAGAAAAAGGAAAAAAAAAAATAGTGATAATCATGATCTAATGAGAAAAAGTACTACAAAAAAAAAAATAAATAAATAAATAAAACACGTATTAACAGACATGGAAACATAAGCTCAGCGGCTAAATGATGAAATAAAAGCTTATTAAGTAAGGACCTGGCCTTAGCTAGAGCACAGGCTACCCGGCTGTCAGGAAGGGCCTGTTTCTCAACCCCTGACCTCTCCTTCCCATCTGCCCTCTTGCTGGGCCATGGCAGAGAAAGGGATTTCCTATAATAATATGCTATATTGATTACAAAGTTGTTTATTCCATGTTCTTAATTTAAAAATCAGTTGATTAATAAAAAGTGCGTGGGGGTGTCGTGTGTGCGTGTTTTCATTCTCTCAAAAACCCCTACCAAGCTCCCTCCACTGATCACTGGACCTACAGCCATTTCCCCCACACTGTTAATAACATTCAGAGTCTGAAGGGGATTATTCCGTGACTTCTTCAGTGGGAAACCGAAACAAAACATTTAGTATGTCATGGTTCCAAAATACTACTGCAGTCTCCAAATCCCTTCGGTTTCAAAAGGAAAAACAAAACAGCATGTTCTGTCTTTGAGGTTATTATTCTTTCAAATTTCTGATGTAAAATATCTCAAATTATCAAATTCTGTCATATATTTCTTATATATATTATGATTTTTAAAAGAAAAAAGTCTTACTGTGCTGTTGGCAAAGGCTGTTCCGACCATAAAGTAGAAGACTCTAGGGTGTCTCTCTAAAATATCTGAGGGTGACCGGAGGATCCACGCTGTAGACAAAACGAAGAGCAAACAGGGAGAAAAGAAGGGAACCAAAACTTCGTAGACTGAATTGTGTTTCAAGGTGTTATTTTTATAGCTTCTGGAAAAAAAAAAATCAAGTAATACAAGGAACATTATTACATATAAAACTTAACATTGTACTTGTACTTTGTAGTTTTCAAAGTACTTTTACTTTACTCTTATTCTCTTACCTCATACTCACATTAATCCCATGGCCTAGGCAGAACCAACATTATTAACTCCACTTTACAGACAGGTTAAGTGAGGATGTGAGAATTTTAATTTACGTATCTTGCTACCAAGGGGCAGGGCCAGGACTAGAACATAAGTCTTCTGACCCCTAGTCCCATTTTCTTCCCCTGGAATGCATTATGAATAAAACTTGGTCTTTGTTCTATGAGATTATATTCTAATGGAGAAAATAAAATGAACACAAAACAATACTAGAAGAGGACCTCATAGTGCTACTATGATACAAAGTGATACAGCAATACCAATCTAGAACCGCCCAGCACCCACCTAAGTGTCTCTGGGCTCATGGGTGGTACCCCAAGGTCTGCTCATCTGAACAGGGCCCAAATTCTAATCCTGGTTCTGTCAGTGACGACATGATCTTGGGCAAGATACTGACCATCAGGACCTCATCTTTACAAGATGAAGAGGATATGACTCAAACAATCTCTAAGGCCTTCAGAGCTTTAAATTTTATGGTTCTATGAATGATTGCCAGCAGCCATAAATAAGGACAGTTCCATAGAGCTTGGCTTAACATGTATAGGATTCCGCATGACAGATCCGAGAGCTGAAGGATGAAGTGGGAAGTACACGAAAGTGTTTCAAGTAGAGGAAAGAGTAGTAGAGGAAATAGTGGGAGAAAAATTACTGAGGGGAGAAAGCAAAATATATTCAGGTCACATAAGTAAATCCAGGGTGGCTGAGCAAAGGTGGAGAAGTGCACAGATCAGAGAAATGAAACTTCACCCAGGCAACTCCCCTCCCCACCGCCTACCCTACTCCTCAGGCAGGAATTTCTATAGAGTGCTAGTTAAGAAGAGTCAGCACAGGTCAAGGTTTGGTGCTAAACTACACAAGTTCAGAAATTTTATTTTATGGCCATGCTAACTAAACTTACACATAATCAATTTATAAAAAGAATATAAACCTATCAATATTCGAGAGGAACATACTCCCTCCTGATTCACTCACAAAAAATAACAAATTCGAAGTGTGTTTGGTAAGCACAAAACTATGACAAAAGAACTAGTAGTTTTGTGCTATGGTTGAACTGACTACACAAGCCACCATAAATAGCGTAAATTACCTTAACTTCAATCTAGATTCAAAATACAGATTTCGTGACATTCTCAAAATGTATACATTCCAAGAGAAAAACAGATCTTAAAATTCATCTAATTAACAACTTCTAAGGATTTTCATATTTCTTGCCAAATAAAAAAATAAAATACTGGGCTGGCCCAGTGGCACAGTGGTTAAGTGCACACGTTCCACTTCTCGGTGGCCTGGGGTTCGCCGGTTCGGAACCTGGGTGTGGACATGGCACCGCTTGGCACGCCATGCTGTGGTAGGCGTCCCACATATAAAGTGGAAGAAGATGGGCACGGATGTTAGCTCAGGGCCAGTCTCCCTGAGAAAAAGAGGAGGATTGGCAATGGATGTTAGCTCAGGGCTAATCCTCCTCAAAAATAAAATAAAATAAAATACTTACCTGAAAAAGTTTAATAAACTCATTGGAAGAGTCACACACAACGCACAACCTAAAGGGAAGAATATTTAAATTATCATGAATTATTATTCAAGAGCGATTTTTATAATAACTGAATACATAAAATATGTAATATTTTTAGATCCAACAATTTTCAGGTCCAGGTTTACTTCTGTAGTGAAATTAAATGCATTTCTGAACAATGCTCACGACTGGAAGAGTGGCAGGCAGTACAGTTTGGGGATTCAGAGCAGAGAAGGAGTCAGACTGGGCTTGAATCTCAGTTGTACCACTAACTGGTTATATGACCTCAGACAAATTAACCTTTGAGTGCCTCAGTCTCCTCTTTTATAAAATAGAGATAATAGTAATATTGCCATCCATAGGGTTTTGAGAATTAAACGAGCTATTACACATAAAGACACACGGAACAGTACCTGGTATACAGCAAATAAACTGCACAGTAAGTGTGAGCTATTGGAAGAGGGGACAATGGATGGATCCTGCTGCTTCCCACTGACACTTATTTTTACCTCCCCAGCATTCTTAATTTCTTCCCCCATCCCTACCCATACACCAGTTCTTCTCCCTCAAACCTGAAAATAAGGGTGGCCTTCCCAACAACCCTACCATTGATTCTGCTGCCCTCACTATCTACTATCTTATTCTATTTCCCCTCGCTCGCAAAACTCTTCTGTTGCCTTCAATTCCTCAACACTCTTTTATTCATTCCGCCTCCCCTCTGCAGAAATTGTACTCTTGCAATTTACCAAACTCCCCTAACAATCAGATTCAACATCTCTTCCTCATTCCTGACCTCTCAGTGAGATGACTCATTGACTATCCACTTGCAGCTCTTTCCTCCTTTTACCTTGGTGATTCCATTCTCCCCATGTTCCTGCTAGTCATCCAACCACTACATTTGATGTCCTTTATTAGCAACTCTATCTCCTGCGTATGCCTAACTGGGCGTTTGACTGTGTTTCTACTCTCCCTCAAAGAATCCCCTCTGACAGCTTTACCTACAAGCTTCCTGCAGATAATTCCAAAATCTGGTTGTGTGCTCTTGGGCAAATCAGATAATCTCCCCAAGCTTCAGATTCCACAGTTGTACCATGAAGATGGGTTAAATGACTTTCTAGTGTCCCTTGCATCTTTAAAATTCTCTGATTTTATGATCTATAGAGATGTAAATTCCTGATCTTTCTCTTGTTCAAACTCCAAATCAATACACTGGCAACTTTCAGGACACTTCATGTGGATATTTCATTGTTGCTCAACATATTAGCCCTAGTTTGTCCACTCTGGACTCCTGGTGATTTTACTTGGCTTGGGGGGTGGGGAGGGTCAGTGCAGTTATGACTTTAAGAAGCAAAGACAGAAAAGCATTCCTTCAAAACAATTACTTAGACATTTTGCTAAAAACAGACGGAAAAACTGGAATCCACCAAAGAGAAACCCCATCTCAAAAGATGAGTTACTCTACTACTTCTAAGGCCAACTGGAACAAAGATCCCCAAGTTGGAAATCTTAAGGAAAAGGAAGGAGAAGACAAGCTGATGTCCTGAGAAATTTTAGCAGCTTACTCCATATCAAGCTGGGAAACACTGGGAGGGAGGCATGGCTAAATGAATTAACCCAGAATCATTTGTAGCTCTGAGGTGATGCAAATAAGCTGAAAGAAAGTTGCAAATGACTTGCTACCAAGAGTATTTTTAGTTTTAAACATCTTGAAATAGCTTTGAGTATAGTAAGCACATAGAAGCTTGGGCTCTATATAGGCTGCCCAAGAGAAACACTGCATCTTCTATTCTTCTCTAAATAGCATTAATGTACTTTCTGTAAAGAGTACCTAACTGTTAATTTAAATACTTATCTATTAAACTCTATATAATAATAGTGGTAGAACCCACATATATGTAGTCCTACTTTTCATACCACCATAGGAAGGGCCAGATGACTTCATAATATAGGAAACTAAAAACTATAAGAAAATTAGAGTAGAATTCATAAAAAAGGATTGAGTGGGATGAGATAAACACCAAGGATAACAGGGTCACGAAAAATATTTTGGTTCCTTACATTTCCAGGCTTATTTATCAAAAGAGAACTTCAATTAAAACCACCAAGACAAAAAGCACTTTAAGAAAAGTAAAAAAGACAACAAATAAGGGAGAAGTTGTCATTTATATCAAAATAAAGGATTAATATATCTAATATATGAAGAGCTTCTAAAAATAAAGGAAACAGTTAACAATCCTATAATAAAAATTGGCTAGAGATATAAAGAATATACAGAAAAAAGAAATATAAATGGCTCTCAAACAATAAAAAAGTCCATTCATAATAAGAGAAATGCAAATTAAAACTATATGGATTTATGATTTCTTACCTATCAGATTGGCAAAAATCTGAACATTTGACAATATTCTATGTTGGTAAAACTGTAAATAAACAAGCACTTTCACATGTGGCTGGTGGGAATTCAAAACCATACAACCCATATGGAAGGAAATATGAATATACTAAGTGAAACTACACACGGGTCCTTTACTAGTAATTCTATTTCTAGAGATCTCCTCCAAAAATATCCTGGCAAAAATATGAAAAACATATATATACAAGACTCTTCACTCCAGCAATTTGTATAACAGCAAAAGACTGGAAATAACCCAAATGTCCACCAGGAGGAGGCTGGCTGAATAAACTAAGGTAGATCCACACAATGAAGACCCAGGCAGCTGCAAGAAGGAAGGAGGAAGATCCTTATACATACCATGCAGTGCTCTCTAGGATAGTCTACCAGGGGGACAAAAGGCAAGTGTAGTAAAATATATATAGCATGCTACCATTAATCTATGAAAGGGGGGATAAAACCACACACAGACACATACCCCTACTTATATTAAGAAGGAAACAATGAAAAGATAAATCAAAAAATTAAAAACTAAGAGATGGAAGAGAGGATTAGGGTAGTGATAGAAGCTGGACTTTTTTTTAATATACCTTGTTTGATACACAGATTTGACTTTGTAATCACGTGATTATGTTATATAATTATAAAGGAAAAATAAATTTTAAAAGAAAAAGTAATCCCTAAAAATCACAAGCAAAATGAAACAAACTTAAATGTACATATATCCACAGCTGGTGGCACGACCACAGACTGGGCATCTCTAGTGGGAAAAGCCATAAGGACAAATGTAACTGCAAAAAATAATTTTCAGTAATCATATTGTTGCAGATTTTGGTACTATGTGCTGAGACTGTTGTGTGTGTTTTGTGGAATAAAGCAAATAAATAATTATTTTGTGTTGTTGAAAACAAAGACTTTTGTCAAGAGTTTAAAGGAGGTATAAAAGTAAGATCAATGAAGTTAAGCAAAAAATATGTATCATCAAATTTTATTTGGAATTATCAGTATGAAATTTATGAGGTATTTTATTAAAAAAAAAAAAAGAACTTTATTCCCCTAGCTATCCACTCAAAGAATGGATTCGTAAGCAACAATCAACAATGTCTGTTAATACCATTAGGTGAAGAGCTGATGCAAAACTTTCTAACAGATGGAAGAGACATACAATACCTCAACCCTCTGATCACTATTAACATCACAAAAAGAGAGACAACTAGATATTTTGTGCCTCCTAATGTGATGCAATAGGAAGAACCAGTACCTAACAAGTACTGTTGCCACAAAAAAAATCAAACTTATCTCTAACCAGATCTATTAGTTTATAAGAAAAACAAGAGACAGAAGAACATGTTAAATGACACAATGAGGATGCAGTCAGCAAAATGCAGAATGCGAGAGGTCCATAGGCCAAATGACTCACCTTCTCCTTCAAAAAAAAACTGCAAAGAAAAAAAGGGTAAACTTACATTGACTGAGAGAGACAGAAAAGACCTATTGACCAAATGCAGTGTATAGGCCCTGGGTGGTGGCTACACAAGCACATCAATTGTAACAGGACATCTGAGACAATTACGGAAATCTGAACGCTCACTAAATGCTTAAAACTAGACAAGAAATATTAAAAACAACTACTTGAAGGCACTAGAAAATAATCAGAGGCAGGCAGGAACTTGAGAAGCACTGACACTTGAAACACTGAGGAGCAACTCCAAGTGTGAGGCTTCCCTGCCTGCCTCCCATCCCAGCCCCGATGCTGGAAAGCCACAGCCTTCCTAACCAGCCTGGGGAGGCAGATACTATAGCTTAGAGCAGCAGAGAAACCGGAAATCTAAGGGGCAGGGGCGGGGGCGGGGGGGGAGGGTGGGGTGTATATTAGAAGAGAGAGAGATGTAGCAAGGCTGAGATTCAAAATCTGAGTACAAACTCCACCCAAATCCCTGGCTGGCTGCTAAACTAAGCAGGCAAACAGGAGACCCCAGGGAGCATGATGAAAAAGAAGGCAGAAACTAGAGGAGGCACTGTCTGTGAAAGACAGAGGTGCTCCTGGTGAGTCTGTGTGTCTGCTATGTCTTTCACTAAGTGCATTTCTAATCCACACTCGGCATGGGCTGCAGGAGGCTTGAGATGTCAGAAGCCAGAAAACACAAGCGCTGGCAGAGCAACTGAAGATTCAGGAGGGGGAACCCCAGAAATATGGAAACTAGAGAGGATGAACACCAAAATCTCAGTATCAACTCTGCCCACATCTTTGGCAAATGCTAAACTATATAGACACAAGGGAGATCCCCAGGGGACCAGACTAAAAGAGTAGCAGCTGAAAATAACTGAACAGAGACATCAGCTACTGCACACCATGAGGGAGACAAGAGTTCTCAGTCTGAATCCCAACAAGTTAAATGCCTATTAGAACAGAAGCAAAATTCCTCAGGAAAAACAAAACAAAACAGATTCCAGGGGCTGGCGCCAGGGCCGAGTGGTTAAGTTCAGGCACTCCACTTGGGTGGCCCAGGGTTTTGCTGGTTCGGACCCTGGGTGCCAACATGGCACAGCTCATTAGGCCATGTTGAGGCAGCATCCCACATGCCCCAACTAGAAGGACCCATAACTAAAATATACAACTATGTACTGGGGTGATTTGGGGAGAAAAAGCAGGAAAAAAAAAACAAACCAGATTCCAAAGTCTCTACAAACATTATTTCCAATGTCCAGTTTTCAGCAACAAAAACAAGTGCTAAATATGCAAAGAAACGGGGAAAAAAGCAGTCAATAGAAACTAACTCTAAGTGGGCCCAGATGCGGGATTTGGTAGACAGACTTTAAAGCAGCTATTTCAAATATGTTCAAAGAACTATAAGAAAATATGGTGACAATGAATGAATGAATAGGAAATCTCAACAGAGAAATGGAAAGTATGAAAAGAACCAAATGGAAATTCTACAACTGAAAAGTAAAACAACTTAAGTCACAGGTTCCATGAAAGATTCACTAGATGGACTCAACAGCAGACTGGAGATGGCAGAAGGAAAAAAGCAGTGAACTTAAAGCTAGATTAACAGAAATTATCACTACAAAGAATAGAGAAAAGAGATTAAAGACAACTGAAGAAAGCCTCATAAAATTACCTATAGGACAACATCAAGTGAAAGAGGCTAGCATACACACAAGTGGAGTCCCAGGAAGAGAGGAGAGAGAGAGACAGGAAAAATATCTGAAGAAATAAACTGTGGCTGAAAACTTCCCACATTTAGCAAAAAAAATTAACTTACAGATCTAACAAGCTCCACAAACACCAACAAAGACAAAGAAAATCACACCTAGGTGCATCACAGTCAAACTTCTGAAAGACAAAGAGAGAATCTTGAAAGCAACAAGAGAAAAATGACACATTACATACAGGGTGACAACGACATATGAGCTGACTCAGAAGCAAAAGATGCCAGAGGACATTAGAATGACATATTCAAAATGCTGAAAGAAAAAATAAAGGCCAAATCAAGACATTTTTACATAAACAAAAACTGAGAGAATACATTGCTACCAGGCCCGCACTACTAGAAATGCTAACGGAAGTCCCTCAGACTTCTGGGAAAGAACATCACACAGTAAGTCAGATATACAGAAAGGAAGTAAGTGCAGCAGAAATGGTAAATGTGCGATTGAGTATAAAAGACTATATGTTACAAAATAACCCAGAGGTTAGAGGGTAGTGGTACATTTGAAACAAGGTTGGCCTTGGTATTGAAAACTGCTGAAGCTAGGTGATTGTACATAGGAATTTATTATATAAAAATAGAAAGACTAGAAGGAATACAGATGTTTAAATTTTTTCATAATAAAAAGAGAAAAAAAGTGAGAGGGGGAATCCTGCTCTCTATCTTGGCAGCCAGTCTGTTACACCCAAAGGCAACCTTCCATAATGGCAAACAGGAGCCACCTCACTTTCTACCAACCTTTTATCATCCCTTGTCTCACCTTGAGGCTCTAGTCCACACCAGCCACTCTAACATCAGCACCATCAATTTTATCAGCAGAAATTAAGTAGCTTAGGCTCTAAGCCCTTCTGTCTATTTAAGTCTGCTCAAATCTAGTAGTCATAGGTTGCTTAACAATGGGGATACTTCTGAGAAATGTATTATTAGGTGATTCCATCATTATGTGAACATCCTCAAGTGTACTTACACAAACCTATAGCCTACTACACACCTAGACTACATGTACTAATCTTTTGGGACCACCATCATAATATGCAGTCCTTCATTGATCAAAACATTTTAACGTGGCACATGACTATACTGGAGAAGCTGCTTTATGCATTTGTACAGAAATGTGGGCTTTTGTTTTATTTCAGAAGGAAAAATTCAGACAAACTTATAAACTACAAAGAAAATATGTGCCTACTGAACTACTCACTTAACACTCAAAAACATATCACATGTATCAGAGGATTTCATCTTACCTTTAAATTTAACATTTAAATGTAAAATGCAGCAAACCTGCCATAGGACAAGCTGCTTACAGCAAAAGATTCACAACATGGTAGGAGATGAAAAATAGCCAGACTTTTCAAGGTAAAGAAATAAGTTTACACAGGTACCCTAAAATGAACATTTGGTATAGTCCAGCAGGGTCCCTAAAAATATCTGCAGTCCAGAGGCACAGAAAAGGGCCCAAACCACTCCTTTTCTGAAAGCCACTGCCTAATGCGCTATCTTCCCAGCTGCTCCTAAGCCTTACCCAATTCCCGTTCTGCTACCAAGGTTCGACGGAGAAAGAAAGAACGTTATTTTTTTAGATAAGGGAAGAGAGCAATAGCCAACAAGTATGCTTTTTCACTTCTACAAAGGTCCTTAGCGACATTCCTGGTATCTCAAAATAGCAACCTAGATTACCCCTCCTCTTTCTATCTTTCCATAGAAAACACTCTCCCTACTCAGTCATCCTGTAGATATCCCCTTTGGCTAAAATCAAAAGGGAAACATTGCACGATCAAAAACCTGTACCTAGAATTCAGCGGCATAAAGAAGGAGGGTATCTGAGAAACAGAGGCTCAATTTTTGGAGTGGATATAGTATAATCTCTATGTTTCATCTAATCTATTTCCTACAAATAATAATCTTCAATTTTGAGATAGTATGAGATCTGTATCAAAACGTCCAGGTACATGTGGATCCTCTGATACAGTCTAGATGAATCTGAATAGTTTACAAGGTTTGTGTGATCTATTGTGGTATTTCCTTCTGACCAGAAATAGCTTGGTGCTGAACAAAAAAAAAAAAACACAGAAACTTTATTTCCTTAACAGTCTGGATGAAACTCTGCAGGGTTGTAGAGCCGTTCTGCTTGTTGGAGGGCATGGGGAGAGGGAAGGGGGTTGTTGCTTGTTATAATCAAACACTAGTTTTGATAACAAAGTGATGTTAAAATAGGCTTCAACATGGAGCTTCTTACCAATAATCATTGTAGTGAATAGGTCTCTATATAAGAAATTAAACAGGAAAGGTTCATACCAGGCCTCAACTCCCACAATCGCAGTCACTATGTAGACAAAAGAAATAGTCTAAAAAGAAAATGCAGACAAAAGCATACAGAAGCATTAACAGCTGGAAAGATCAGGGAGTCCATGCTTTATGCGACATAAGTCTAGCAAACAGCTTTAGTAACAGCAAGAAATATGCTTACATTTGATATTGTGGCAGTCTTCTTGCCTTTAAAATATATTTTTTCAGCCAAGAGTGCCATAAAATAACTAACTTCTAGACAATGCTAGCAACTGGCCGTCATTTGGAACACTTTAAGGCACCTCATAAATTGGTTAAGCCATAAGATGATCCAATTTGCCCACCTAATCACTTTCTTCCGACACACTCCAATTTCTGATTCTTTCCTGGAGCTTTAGGTGCAAATGGGCAAAATGGCAACACGAAAAGCCGGGATTCAAAGACAGGGAGAGTTGATAGCAAGCCTCTAAGTAAGAGAAAACAAATCTCTCTACTCATTGAAAACTTGGCAATGAAGACAAAAAGCCAACAATTTAATTATATGCGCATATGTTTCTTTACAAAATCACCGATTCAAATGAACGTTTATTAAGAAACAGTTCATTTTTTGGTGTAAAAAGGCATTGTGACTATGCTTTTTAAACAGAGCTCTTACCATTTAGAGATATACAGTAAAATATTTATCGCATAATGTTAAGAATTTCCTTTAAAATAATTGGGAGGGGGGTGAGTAAGGGTACACGTGAAACTAGATTGGCCATGTGTTAACTGCTGAAGCTAAGCAATAGGTACAAAAGGGTTCACTATACTATTCTCTCTACTTTTATCTATGTTTGAAATTTTCCATAAATAAGTAAAAATAATATAAAATAAAATTTAAAAATCTTTTAAAGCACACATCAATTCTAACCAAAAAAGCCTAAGGGCAATAAAGAAGAAATGACAAAAATTTCCCCCAAAATTCATGGCAACGTTGAAAATTTAAGGCAGAACACATACTTACCACCTGGCTAATGTCATATCCCCACGGCAGGAAAAGAATCCCTGTGTTATACTTTTCCCAGTGAGACAGGATGAAAGAAAACAAAACTACCCATAGCAGGAGATAAAGAACAAACACACTGACACCAGATGATCCTCGTCCAAAGATGGAATACACAGTGACAACAAAGTAAACACATGACCAACTGTCCAGGCCATGGTCGAAAAGCTCCCCTAAAGGGGTGCTAGAATTGGTTCTACGGGCTTGCTTTCCATCCACACCATCTGCAACAAAACACAGGACCATGGGAAAAGGTCAACAGCTGTACTAGTATGGAGAAAGTCTTCTCTAATAAACTGGAGAAAAACAAGACAAAACAAATCAGCATATCAAAGGAATGTTAATTAACTAAAGTATAGCTACCAGCCAGTACTATAAAAATCCAACCTTTACGTCCTACAATATAAAGATTCAAGAAACAAAATCCGTAATTTCTCAAAGTTTAATCTTTGAAAATTAAAACACATTATATTATACTGAATGGTGTCAATTTTAGATCTGAGGAAGAAGCATTCTGGTTGGACTCTGAATTCCTCCAAATCTACCTAACAATTGAGTTGTTCCACTAGCCACAAATTCTCAAGACTTATGATAGGAAAAATGAATAAGATTTGAATAATAAATAATGAATATTTATTACAATTTCTCTAACCACTTCTTGCTCTAGGATTCAAAAACACTCTGTACTTCAGTCATAACACCTATTTCACCTTGTTTGACATTATAGTCACTTCTTCACAACTGTGCTGCCTCCACAATTTTAAGAGCTTTCAGAAGGCTTTGCACATAGTAGGTGTTCAGTAAATATAAGAATTACATTTACTGAAACTGTGCAGTGCACTGGTCTTGATGTTGTGAAGATTATAAGAATCTTAGAATAAGTTGTGCCCTCAGTGTGTTTACAATTGAGAAAGGAGACAAAACATGATAATTAAAGATATGGTATATCACAAACCATAGAAGAGTACAGAAAAGGGACAGGTTCTCTTCAGGCTAGGACAATCCAGAATGGCTTTCCAGCCAAGGTGAAATCTGAGTGGGGACATAAAGAACGAGCTGGATTTCAGTAGGTAAGAGATAAAGGAGTATGCCATTTCAAGAGGAGGGAGTGCTATCAGCAAAAACACCGAGGTGGAAAACCACAAGCGTGTTCCGAGAATGCCAAGTAGTTTAGTCTGACTAGAAACTGGTATGTGAAGAGGGCAGGATACTGAGGCCAGAAAGGAGGTCTGAGTCAGTTTAGGGAGTATGAGGAGCTGCTAACAGCATCTGAGTAGGGAAGTGACAAGAGTGAAAGCAATGAGGAGCTTCGGGAAGACCCGCCTGACATCAGTGCAAACGACAGGCTGGAGCGAGGAACACAAATGAATAGGCCTAAACTGAGACAGAATGCAGCAGGAAGGAAAAGCTGGGGGCAGGTGAGACATTAAGAAAGTAAAAGTGACAACGCAGCAGAAATGAGAGGTGAAGCCAAAGGACAAGAAGACCATCTTCAAAATTTCCCGTCTGGGTAACCAGGAGAGCAGCAGTGTTAACAGAAATAAAGAAGTCCAAAGAAGGAGCAAGACTGATAGAAAAGATGCTGCGTACAATTTTAGATGCTGAAATTATAAGTGTTGGCAGGATATCCACAGTGTAATGTCAAACAACTCAATCTAAGGGTACTCACTAGCAACTCGGAAGATAGATAAGAGCTAGACATAAACAGGGGAGTCCTCTCAATAGTGTTAAGAATCAGCATTACAGGGCCGGCCCGGTGGCGCAGTGGTTAAGTGCACACGTTCCACTTCTCAGTGGCCCGGGGTTCGCCGGTTCAGATCCCAGGTGTGGACATGGCACCGCTTGGCACGCCATGCTGTGGTAGGCTTCCCACATATAAAGTAGAGGAAGATGGGCATGGATGTTAGCTCAGGGCCAGGCTTCCTCAGCAAAACAAGAGGAGGACTGGCAGTAGTTAGCACAGGGCTAATCTTCCTCAAAAAAAAAAAAAGAATCAGCATTACCAAGGCAATGAGGTGAAAGAGGCGGCTAAAGATAAAGCACAGTGGAACTCTGGAACTCCCTCATTTAGGGGCAGGAACAGAGGATGCTGGAGAGGTAGAGGAAACGGAGGGTGGACGAGGGGAGGAGAGAAAGGAAGGGAAGAGGGAGAGAGAGAAAGAGACAGAGAGAATGGTAAAATGTAGTTAAAAATGAAGAACAGTCTGAATTATCAAGAGTCTCAGTTTCTCTCCCAAAGAAACAGTTTTGTTAACTTAAGTGCATCAGAATTAGGGTAATTGTAAAGACAGAGATTTAAGTTTCTGGGGTTTTGTTTTGTTTTGTTTTGTTTTGTTTCAAGGAAGATTAGCCCTGAGCTAACTGCTGCCAATCCTCCTCTTTTTGCTGAAGAAGACTGGCCCTGAGCTAACATCCATGCCCATCTTCCTCTACTTTATATGTGGGACGCCGGCCACAGCCCGGCTTGCCAAGTGGTGCCACGTCCGCAACCGGGATCCGAACCCGCGAACCCCAGGCCACCTAAGCAGAACGTGCAAACTTAACCGCTGCACCACCAGGCCAGCCCCAAGACAGAGATTTAAGGAATTAAGAATCTTATAATTACTGTATTTATCTTGCTCACCAGAGTATTGTCCCCAGTGCCTAGCTCAGTTTGTGGTAAAGAGGATGAATCCCAAGCACCTGCCAAATACTGCAGATCTCTTAAGCAGTTAAAGTAGCCCGTAAGTAGCTAAAATGTTTCCTAAAAGTCTCTTCTCATTATTTGCCGGCTTAATTTCCTATTTTCAGTGAAACTCCTGTGCAGTTATGACAAATACTGAATTCACAAACTACATATTTATTAGGCTTTATACATCTTCTCACTGAACATTACCGCTCCACAAGTCTGGGTAGGGTCTAAATACATTTCAGAATGTTTGTTTTCAAGAAAGGTAATTCAGGACAAATACTGCTATGAAAACCCCCCGTAGGACCTAGAGAGTATTCTGTGATCAAACACATTAATATTTCTGCAGCAAAATAGTCACACTAGTAGAATAAAGAAAGATTATAAATTGCCTCATGTTAGTTCAAGGCAGGTTTTGCAACAAACAGTTGATGTTAGGTCAGGATTTTTGCCAGAATTATGGACCTGAAACAGGTAGATGGTACAGTATATCAAAAGGCTCTCATGACATGCTGTGACAAGTCAGCACCCACAGGCTACCCACACCTTTCCCCTACTCCTCCCGCACTCCTTGGAAACCAATGCCATTTGGTTGAATAGGAGCAGAATTTAAAACACGCTCATCTTTAACAAGTGTACAAAAGCCTCTGCCTCTTTCTAACTTTTTACTAAAGTTTCCCCTATGGCCTAGCACAGACTTCCGTCACCACTCCCACCACCAAATAAGCACTGATCCCTTCCGTATTTGTTTTCCCACTGTGCTCTATTATAGCATCTCTCTCAGTATTCTGCAGTTATTTGATATGTCAGTCCTGCTTCCCAAACTTAAGGCAAAAATGATATCTTATTCCAGAGGTTGGCAAATATTTTTTGTAAAGGGCCAGACAGTAAATAGTTTGGGCACTGTGGGCCATACGGTCTCTGCTGCAACTACCCAACTGTGTCTTCGCTGCAGGAAAGCAGCCACAGACAATATGCAAAGGAATGAGCATAGGTGCACTCCAATAAAACTTTACTGACAAAACAGGCAACGGGCCAGATTTGGTCCGCAAGTGGTAGTTTGCCAACTCCCATCTTATTCTTTGAATCCCTAGCAATGAATGACAATATTTTTCAGAGAAACTCAAAAACATTTATAAAACTGAAAAGGATATTACTAAACCTTAGTTAAAATGAATTAAGCACAGGGAAAAATGTTAATTTAGTGGTTAATTTAATTAAGTTAATTTGATTAAGCACAGGAGAAAATGTCAACTATCCTTGCTGACAGCTTCACCAGCCATGGACTAAAACGAGTATCTGCCAACTGCTTACCTAGAGTGTAGGCTATGAAGTTGAGGATGCCCACTACAATCCAAACCCAATCGGGGACGTGCTTGTGACCTGGTGCTGCAAAGGAAAACAGCTCAAATTTCAATACAGTCTAAGTACAACTTTTCTCATCATTGCATACACTGCTAATGAGAAATGTTTCTATTTAGTAAATAGAAGTTAAAGTACTTTACAATATATTTTGAAGGCAGAACTGGGTAAACATTAAAATATATCAGTAAACTCTGACAAAAAAGTAAGTGCCCAACCCCTCATAAGAAATAGGCATCTATTTTGAGCTTTAATCCTAACTCAGACAGACTGTTCATCTTTACTTGAAAATTACCTATGTACCTGGAATGAAAAATGGTTTTGGAATTTAATCTGATCCTCACTGTTTATGATTAAACTACAAACATGTATTAAGCCATACTCTCACTCTATTATTAATTAGCTAAACAAAAGACCTCCTGATTTGGGTTTAGATCACACCTCAAATGGATGATTTTGGCATCAGAATCATTCTGAAATGTCTGGACCCTGATAGACAGAATAACTGAGAATCAGGAGGTCTGGGTTCTAGTCCTGGCTCTGTAATCAGCCAGCAGCGTGACCTTGAATATATCATTTAACCTTTCTTTACCTTTCTTGTCTTCCATTTCCCGAATATACTGACACTAGATGGTTTATCTGATCCTTCAAGTTCTATGATTTGGGGAAGTATATACAATACGTACACATTTTAGTTCTCTTTTTTTTTTTTGAGGAAGGTTAACCCTGAGCCAACATCTGCTGCCAATCCTCCTCTTTTTGCTGAGGAAGATGCCCTGAGCTAACATCCGTGTCCATCTTCCTCTATTTTACATGTGGGATGCCTAACACAGCATGGCTTGCCAAGCGGTGCCAGGTCCACACCCAGGATCCAAACCGGCGAACCCCAGGCCACCAAAGCGGAACGTGTGAACTTATGCAGAGCCACCGGGCTGGCCCCATGGAGTAGTCAGAGAAAATATTTCTAGTTACGAAGATAAACTTTTGGATTAATATATAAACTTTTTAAAAACTACTTAATATCAAAACCAAGCTTAATGAAATTTAATCTTATTTATTATTCATGTGGTACTTTACAACTTTCAATTACCATTTCATTACATGTACAGAAGCCACGGCTAAAAATTTTAGTTGATAAAGTTAGGCATATGTATAGTTTCAATATTCAGAATTTCTATAATATCAAAAGTCATAAGTATTTGAAACTCCAAATTTTTATACAAAAACACCATTGTCAGTGATTGTTAATTTTTCCAGGTCAGTCTACAAAAGTATGCTGAACCCACAACACAGAGGCATTACCATACTATAATTCCTGACTACATCATTTATAAGTATTCTTATTGAAAAACATATTCTCTAATTTAGAGCTCAAAAAATCCTCATCTACTTCCATCTTTCTATTCCTCTCAACTCTATCAACTGGCTGAGCAATACAAATAAACTGTCTCCCACTTATCCCCCCTCATCCTAAATCCGCTCCAGACTCTCTCTGAAGGCCTGGGGCAGAAGCTGGGCTCGGAACAAAGTGAAGGCAGGAACAGGTGTGAAAGAAGCCATGGGGGTCTGAGGCGGGAGCAGGCTGAAACTGCCTCCAAAAGTGCTTCTCTCCTATCTCCCAATAAGGGTCCGGACTTCTGTCAAAAAATATTTACAGTCAAAGAACCATTTCTGAGGAAACCGGGAGTTACTAAAGGTAAGCACGGATGTCGAGCAGAGGGAAAGAGAGATCACATTCCCTTTAGAAAAATGGGGCTTTTTCTTCCATAACTAAAAAAAGGGAAGAAACATTTCTGGAATTGGTAAGTATGCTGGGCCCTGCTTATATTCATTTTCAGGCAAAGTTTCACGGTCCTAATTTTCCATCTTCTTATATATCCAATTATTCTTTATTTACCAAAACCTCATTGCTTTTTAGACAGCCTATGTAGATTCAATAGCCTGTTGCTTTCTAGAACTTAACGGAAACATACAAAACAGACTGTGAAGATACAACTTAGCTTTTATACCCAATTCTGACATTTTACATACCCTTATAATATCCAAAACTTTTCAGAAATATAAACATCTTAATAGAACCAGAAAATAACCATATCTCACTTTTCTCTATTTAGACATTTTAAACTTTATATTAAAGTAATAATCTTACCTGAAGCATAAAAGTCAGGATCAAAGTATGCCATAAATAGGAAATTGAATACAACCAGCAGAAAGCCAGAAAAGGTGATCAGATTTGGAGCAAGCCAAGTAGGAAATACCTATTTTTTTCAAAATAATTACAAAATAGTTAAAGTAGAGGAAACTCTCTGTCCACCACACCATAACATGCAAATTTAACTCATAATAAAAGCTATAAATTTGAAAGATCGTTTATACATTACATATATTTAAATGTAAACCATAATCTCCAGTTCATAGAAATAAGCATTTCTTTCTTCTATTTTCTATATTTTAAATAATTCTATAATCAACTTTTCTTTTTTTTGAGGAAGATTAGCCCTGAGCTAACATCTGCCAATTCTCCTCTTTTTGCTGAGGAAGACTGGCCCTGAGCTAACATGAGTGCCCATCTTCCTCTACTTTATATATGGGATGCCTGCCACTGCACGGCTTGCCAAGCAGTGTCATGTCCGCACCCAGGATCTGAACTGCTGAACCCCAGGCCGCCGAAATCATAACATTACACTTATTTCAAAAAAACTTAAAAAGGCATTTTACGAAAATGATAAATTCTAGAGTATAAACTTACATTTCAACAATGAGATATATCAAAAGGTATGTGACTAAGGGAAAGGAGGATGGAGAGGTAGTTTCTCTAGATATCTTATTAAACTGACAGTTGTATCTGTAACACCCCAGAAAATAGTTTAAAATATTTAAAACTTACTAAAACATAAGTATATGCCAATTAGTCATCTTACCTTTACTACAGTGTTCCAGAATGGATGCATGATATACAGAGAGAGTGGATTGGTATCTACAGCACTGTACTGTTAAGAAACGAAAGAAAACATTCAGAGTTAATCCTTGCGTACTAGCAAGCAGAACAATATTTCTCCAATGAAAATAACAGTACAAATATAACCTGGAGAACGTGTATTTTTATGATGTCCTTATCTGAATAACAAAACCACAGAAGCAATATAAATGGGGCAAAAAGGGTCAAGCACAGTGAGATACTTTTTACTCAACTTTTATAATATTACAATGCTTCAGCACAAAAATTTATGTTGCTTATAAATTCTCACTATGCAGGATCAGTAATATGCTCACTGTGTGCATTTAAATAATGGCCACATTTGACCTTCCCAACCCCCTTCATCCTTCTCAACTAACAGGAATCTATTGTTTTACCCCTTGACACCATTACGAATGCACTTACTAGCTGTGCAACCTTAGGCAAGTTACTTAACCTCTCTGCCCTTAACCTTTCTCCACCTGTGAAATGAGGATGGTAGCCTTTACCTCAAAGGATTACCATAAGAATTAGATAAATTAACAATATACACGAAGCACTCAGAGCAGCACCTGGCCCACAGTAAGTGCTATAAAGTATCAGATATTGTTACATGTGCTTTGAGCACCAGGAATGACAGATCCCTTTATAGCAGGAAAAGGAATTGCATAAATAAGCAAAGGAAGATCACAGCAGGTTAGGGTTCCGTGGTAATCAAGTTTATTCCTCAATTATTGGGCTATTTATTAAAAATTCAAAGGAAATTTTAACAAATATCTGTGCCTAAATATGTAAAACTTTAAAAGTCATGTCAACGACGTATTCATCAGACACACACTGGAGTACCAGGGAAGAAGGAAGCACTCCACTAATGTGGGGAAGAAGGGACACAGACTAAAGGGACAATTTCCACCCTCAGGGAGTAGAAATATTACCTAATTCAACCATCTGACATTTAAAGGATGTCACAACTAGTCTAGTCAGACTAGTCAACTAACGTCTGAAAAAAGTTTTGAGGCTCCGGCCCGGGTGGTGTAGTAGTTAAGTTCACACGCTCCACTTTTGCGTCTGGGGTTCACAGGTTCGGATCCCGGGCATGGACTCAGCACTACCTGTCAATACATCCTGTGGCGGGGTCCCACACAAAATAGAGGAAGACTGGCACAGATGGTAGCTCAGCGACCATCTTCCCTAAGCAAAAAGAGGAAGATTGGCAACAGATGTTAGCTCATGGCCAATCTTCCTCACACACAAAAAAAAGTTTTGATTGTTTTGTATTTATGCTTAGTATGTATGTAAAATAAGTAGTAAGCATTTGAGTATCTAATTTTTTTAGTCATAATTAAAAATCAAAATGTCTTCCTGAACGTTTTATGAATATGCAAGAAATATTTTCTCAAAAGTGTTTCACGACTTAAAAGTGTGATGGAACACAAAAGTAAATAAAGAGAAATCATTTAAAATACTGCTAGCAAAGAGAGTTAACTAGTAAGTCAAATGCTGGGGCCAGCCTAGTGGCGCAGCAGTTAAGTGCACACGTTCTGTTTCTCGGTGGCCCGGGGTTCGCAGGTTCGGATCCTGGGTGCAGACATGGCACCACTTGGCAAAAGCCATGTTGTGGTAGGCATCCCATGTATAAAGTAGAGGAAGATGAGCATGGATGTTAGCTCAGGGCCAGTCTTCCTCAGCAAAAAAAGAAGAGGGTTGGCAGTAGTTAGCTCAGGGCTAATCCTCCCCCTGCCCCCCGAAAAAAAGTCAGTCAAATGCTGATTCAACAGACTCCACATCTGAGAGCCTCCACTTCTCCCATCCATTCTGACTGAAAGGGGATAACTCGGAAAAAAGGTCTGAGATAGACAGTGGGAAGAAAACAGTGAGGAAGAACATGGTTTGCCTGTGCTGGCTAGAGTGAGAAGCTATGCAGTTGCATCCACGCTCAGCAGGAGCAGACTTAGGTGAGTATTAGTGTTCTTACTAAAATCTACCCTTCCTGAATGGTTCTCTACAGTTTATAAAGCTTTTCCACATAACAGATACCACTACATCTGACCCTCTGCAGAATGAAGGAGTCCTCAACTGCCAGGACTTAAGTCTGCCCGAATTTAAGTCTTTCGACCAGAGGACATGGAACCGACATGAACCCCTAAAGGCTGCCGATGACAAAGTAGGAGTGCCCTGCCTGCTCCTCTTCACAAAAGGCCACCCAGACTGTGTGATGTAGCCGGCAGGTCAGATAAACTGGAAAACCAAACATTTCAAGTCTCCCAACTACTGCAAAGTACAAAAGTTGTAAAAAGTCCAAATCAGAAGAAAACAGTTTGACATCACACGAACAGCTAATATGGTGTACAAAGTACAATGCTCTCAATTCAAATGTTTACTGAATGAGTGTCATTCAGTAGCTTTCCATTATCTGAACTTAGATCTAAAAGATGGTCCTTAACTAATGATATTTTGATTTGAAAAGCTCCTCTTTTTAAATTCTGAACTTTTAACTCTCAAATCTCTAGTTCAGGGGACCAGCAGAAGTAGGAGAAGAATGCAGAACTCAATACAAGAAGGTCAGTTTGCCTAACTGGATGTTTTATATTTACTAACAGCTGATGAGCTCAAGTATAGCAAGAAAGATTAGTCTAAGATTACAAAAGGTGGCAAACAGTAAACCTAAAGAACACTCTGCTCTAGCCTTACACAACTGGGTATTTTTCAAGGTCACATATCACTTGGCACAAAGAAACTTGAAACTGCCTTGTGAATTAATGGGAGGAAAGAAGAATGACTCGAACCTTCTACATGCATGAAAAAATAAGTAAAACATGAACTTCTAAAGGTGTTAAACTAGCTTTAGGTTATTTGTTAATGCTTGTTAAATACATTTTTATTTTCCATTGGAATGATGTTTTGGTATACACCACAATACCTGAACCAAGTGGACAACCCACTGTTAAGGTCAACTGTGACCTGCCCGGCTCTATGTGCAGGGCCAGACTAAACCAGCGCCCTGGAGAAACGCTTGAGGACCACAGCCTGAGTTTGAGGGCACCACCCCCAGGCAAAACCCCAGAACCACAAGGGTTCAGAGCACGTTTAGTTCTCAGGTGCCTGACCCTCACCTACACAAACAGGTAAAACTGTCATCTGTTTTACATGCTTGTCCTCTTTTTAAATGCCTCTGTTTACAAAAAAAACTCATTACTTCCAGAAGCAACCCAATCCACGTTAAAAGAATTCTTCTATACACTAAGAAAATCTTTTCCTTGCCCCATATTTTTTATCCTGCTTTCATTTTGTCTCACAAAGTTAAGCATACAAGGGCCCAGTTGTTCTTCTAAGCAGGAGCACTTTGGATACCGGAAGACAGCTCTCCCTGTCACACCTAAACCCTCTCTGCCCCTCTTTCCCTTCTCTGCAACATCCCACGTTCCTTTTGCTGCAAACTCTTTTGCCATAGTTTAATCTCCATCAACTAGGTCTAGTTCTCTGGACCAGAGGCTGGAAAGCTTTTTCTGGAAAAGGCCAGATAGTAAATACTTCAGGCTTTGCAGGCCATATGGTCTCTGTAACAAACACTCCACACTGCCACTGAAGCAGGAAAGTAGTCACGGAAAACAGGTAAACAAATGGGCATGGCTGAGTTCTGATAAAACTTTACTCACAACAACAGGTGCCTGGGGGCTTCAGTTTGACAATATGACAACCTGAGCTCCAGACAATCCAATATGTTAAAAAACAAAAGGTGTGATCTACAGCAAAAGGAACATTTCAAGTGGTACAAGAGTAGAAAAGAGAACACGACTATAAACCCCTCTTCCTCAACAACTTATTTCTCTGATGCTCAACCTATTCATTTCCCCTGGCAACAAAATCGTACTGCAGACAACAGACACCTGAACCTCATAGGCCTTTCTTCCAGGGACTGCTAAGCCACCTTTCTCTATGCCAATACAAGGTTGACTGCTAGAACCTAAGTGTAAGACTCGACATTTACCCTTTTAACATTTCATCTGGGGCCAGCCTGGAGGCATAGTAAAGTTCGTGTGCTCTGCTTTGGCGGCCCAGGGTTCCCAGGTTCAAACCCCAGGCTCATCAGGCCTTGCTGTGGCAGCGTCCTATATATAAAATAGAGGAAGACTGGCACAGATGTTGGCTCAGAGCCAATCTTCCTCATCCCCACCCCCCACAAAATCATCTTGCTGGAGTCACGTCATCTTTCTACTCTCTCCAGACCTCTTCAGACTCAGACTCAGTTATCCAAGGTAACAGCTTGCTGTTAGTGCTGTCAAGTCAATTTCCACTCCCAGGGACCCTGTGTACAGCAGAGCGGGTAAGAGCTATGCCTCCCAAAAGTCTCAGCATGTAAATCTGTCATGCTAATGGTGCCTTCACCTAAGGCCCTGTAAAAAAGCCGATCAAGGCAGAACTTCTAAACATTTCCCTCCAGACTGCTATTAGTACATTTTATAATTTTTATTTGGGTACAGAATTCTGAACTGTCCCTGTCATCTACAGCAGTTAATCTATCACGCCACAAGAAAAGATTTTCATAAAGTCTTAACAAAATCCAGAATTACCTTAGATAACATTTTGCCAGTTAGAACGTTTCAAAACTTTTTTTTACTTCAGTACAAGTCAGGAAATAAAGCAGAGGTCATTCTTCAGTCATTCATTCAACAAGCCAATAAATATTTAGGATTACGTGTCTTTGGTTTTACCAGGCAAAATTTTGCTAGGCCACTGGGAAGAAAATGGTGATCAAGATCAAAACGTTTCCTATGTTCACCAACTCCACAGTCTAACGTGAGATAGATGGTAAGCAAGAAAACATGTAAAAATCACAAGTTGTAGTAAACGCTGTAAAGGAAATAAAGAGGACGTCCTGCACAAGGACAAGGGGGCAGAGAGTGTGCCTAGTCAGAGTGGTCAAGGAAAGCTTCTCTAAGGAGGGGACACAAGCTGAGTCCTCGAAGATGAGAAGACAGTCAGGTACAGAATGTATGCAACATAATTATGAGTGAAAGAAAGGAGACATTAAAG